GCGATTTTAAATGATGCGATTATCAAATCGCAACATTTTTAAATTAGATCTATTACAGGGTGAATCTTAAACTGAAGCTTGACTTTAAAGCAACCCAACGGAAGTTTCATGTAAGTTTAGTTCTTTCACTCGTAGCTCGGGCTGCGGGGGTGCTAGAGACGGGACCATCTTTAACCAATTACATTTCACCACAATCTCTAGCAGCCAATCATTGCGCTAAAGTCAAACTTTAAATCTGTTCTCCTCTCTCCTGCAGTCAGCTGTGATTTCAGGCGTTAATGATGCATTATATCCATGGAAATTGCTCTCAAGATCTCCATATTTTATTCCACAACAAAGGAAACAGAGCCAAATATACATGCCTTTATTTTCTTGTCTATCACAGGCTCAATAGAGGAACAGGTGATGTCAAAAGAGGCAGAGCGACACAGTCAACACACAAAGCACTGCATGCACTGTAAAAACACACTTTATATGATCAAACTAAAGCATAAAATGTGGGGCCGAATGGCATGGGAATGAGCTTTTAACAGAGACAGAACAAAGGTCCCTTTGTGAACGAGTTGGAATAGCATATCACTGAGGAGCAAACACAAAGCGCCTTGAGAGCAGCAGGGATCCGGTGCAGAGCGCACCACACTCTGGTATAAATAGTGGGGGGGGGGTTTACAAACCGTATACAGAACATCCTGAAACCATGCTTCAATGTGACACACAAAAATATAATCAAAAATCATCCTTGTACAATTAAATAAACTCTAAACAAACGTATCTCCAACAAAACTATTGTATAAATAAAGAATGCTTAGAAGCCAATGTTGCCTCGAGCCATGCAGTATCCCAGTTTGTTCTGGTTCCCCAGGAAAGACATGAGGCCCACGTAGGTCTCGATGTGGATGAGCTCGTTCAGGACCATGACGCCGTTGGCCTTCCCAGGAACCGGCTTCACGGCATGGACCTTCTGCGCTGCAGCCCTGAGCTGCTCTTGAAACTTCTGGATCTGTGGGAGGTGAGAGGATCAGGAAGATATCAGACAACTCTTGACTTCCTGTTTACGTCTCTTTTACTCTTCTCCTTGGTGTCAAGAACAATCTGCATTGCATCTTAAACTTGTTTTAAAGTAACTCTAGATTATTTTTTATCAACAAGAAAACACAACTCATCTGAGTGCAAGTCATGGCATTCAGTCATGTGGAGGGGCTCAATAGAAGCCTAAATAGACAGACTGGATTTCAACACGCCTCGAGAGTATCTACAGTATGAATGCATGTGGAGTAGAGTGAGTGATTGAACCATGGCAGAAGTTCAACCTTTTGCTCCAAACCTTTTGCCTTGTAGTTCTTTAACAAAATAAAAACATGGTGTTAATGATTTGAGCACTAAAGAGGAGTGTTTAACCACATTTGAGCCAGCAAAACGGATCTCATGCTCAGAATCATCAAAGCTGCTCACACTCGTGCCACTTTGCTTTACACAAGGGAAAAGGCAGAGGTAAATAAGAAAGTGTGTATATGAAGATTGAGTAAACTGTAATCACTGGGGGATAAACTCACGTCGCAGAGATCAGAGAAAGAGTTGCTGACGGTCCTGACGGGGTGGTGGGTGAACGTGACGAATGGGAAGTCCGTGGCGAAGGGGTTCCACCTGGAGGTGAAGGAGGGTTCTCTCAGCCGGTCCCAGAACACTCGCACCCCCTCCCCATCTCTCCTGAACACATGGAGACAATGGAACACATGAAAACAAAGTGTCTTAGCGCAGACTAAAGAGTATGTATGTGTATTTATAAGAGAGAAGTCTTTGATATGTATACAAAATATCAACACCACACTTAATGATAATTTTACCTTGGTGCTTTGTATCAGTTTCAGGAGGAGTCTCCTATATCCCCTAACAGGATATGGACATTATTTTGTTTAGTGGCTATACTGATTGTGCCTTTGTGATCCACTGGATCCATCAGAATAGGAACATATAGATACATTTAATAATTGCCTGACATCCACATCGACCTCTATGTCATACTGAAAAGCAAATCCAGTCATATTTATAACTGGCCTCACATTCATGTAGCAAAGATACAAGTAGAGCTGTTACGATTATTGTGTTATGTCACGTTTTGTATGTCTTGTTTTGGGTGTTTTGCTGTTCTCCCTGTCATGTTTTCTTCCTTGTATATGTCTGGTCCTTCTTCCTGTGTTTTTCCCCTGTCGTTAGTTTCCCTGGTGTGTCTAATTGTCTGATTGTGTTCACCTGTCGCCATTGTGTTTCTCCTCCCCTGCCCGGCTGTTTCTCGTCTTGTGATTACCCCTCCCTGTATTTAGTCTTGTCCCTTCCTGTGTTCAGTGTTGGTTCATCTTTTGTTTGTGACTGAGTTCACCGGTGAGTGTTCTGTTTTGTCCTAGTATTTTTTCGTTATCCTTGAAATAAAGGCATTTTCAGCGTTATCTGCATTTGGGTCCTGCTTGCTTCACCCACCGTAACAGAACGATCCAACCAAGAAATGGACCCAGCAGATGATTCATTTGAGATGGAATTACAAAATGTTTCCTTTAATTTGGCTTGATGCTATGATTGGTGGAAGGGAGCGTCCAGTGTTCTGCAGAAGGAGGCCACTCTGGTAGAGGTGCACCGGTTGGCTATGGAGAAACCAGGCTTGGTGAAATTCTTACCTGGCTGGATTTTTTAACTTTCTCTCAGTGTGTGATTTCCAGCCTGCTGACTACAAACGTCTCGGGTGTGTTCCGTCCGGAGTCAACCCCTGCTTCTTCCCCATATCCTGCTCCTGTCCAGGAGCCGTTCTCGGGAACTCGTCTGGCTTTCGGAGATCCACGAAGCCTCCAAAAGGCTCCTAAGAGAAGGAGTCGCAAGTTCAGGCTAGCAGCCCGAGCCCCAAGAGCCATGGTTCCAGCCCCAGTCCTGGCCCTAGCAGCCATGGTTCCGGCCCCAGTAGCCATGGTCCCGACTCCAGTTTCGTCTCCAGTACTGGCTCTCCGGCCGACGCCAGCTCCCTGTGTCCTGTCGGCGTTCCCTCTCAAGTCACCTCTCGAGTTCCCTCTCAAGTCACCTCTTGAGTTCCCTTTCAAGTCACCTCTCGAGCCCACTCTCAAGTTCCTTCTCCAGTCACCTCTCGAGTCTCCGCTCAAGTTCCTTCTCGAGATCCCTGTCAAGTCACCTCTCGAGTCTCCTCTTGAGTCACCTCTTGAGTCACCTCTCGAGTACCCTCTCAAGTCACCTCGCAATTTCCCCCTCAAGTCACCTCTCGAGTCCCATCTCAAGTCCCCTCTCCAGTCCCTACTCGAATCCCTTCTCTTGTCCCTAATCAAGTCCCCACTCAAGTGCCGTTGGAGGTTCCGCTGGGGGTCCTGCCAACTCCAGGTCCTGTCCCGTTGGGGGTTCCGCCGACTACTCTTCTGCCGGGGGTCCTGCCAACCCTATGTCCTGTGCCGTTGGAGGCCCCGCCGACTACTCTCCTGCCGGGGGTCCTGCCGGCCCTATGTCCTGTCCCGTTGGGGGTCCCGCCGACTACTCTTCTGCCGGGGGTCCTGCCGGCCCTATGTCCTGTCCCGTTGGGGGTCGCGCCGACTACTCTTCTGCCGGGGGTCCTGCCGGCCCTATGTCCTGTCCCGTTGGGGGTCGCGCCGACTACTCTTCTGCCGGGGGTCCTGTCCTGTGCCGTTGGAGTTCCCGCCGACTGCTCTCCTGCCGGGGGTCCTACGAACTCCATGTCCTGTCCCGTTGGAGGTCCCGCCGACTACTCTCCTGCCGGGGGTCCTGCCAACCCTATGTCCTGTCCCGTTGGGGGTCCCACGGACTACTCTTCTGCCGGGGGTCCTGCCAACCCTATGTCCTGTGCCGTTGGAGGCCCCGCCGACTACTCTCCTGCCAGGGGTCCTGCCAAATCCTGGTCCTCTTTCGTGGGGAATCCTGCCGAAGCCTGTCCCGCTGGCTCCGGTTCCTGTTCGGCCGACACCGGGTCCTGCCCGGCCTCCGGAGCTGTCTGGTCTTCGCCCTCGAGCCCGGCCCCCTGAGTGCCGCGGTCTTCGTCCTCGGGCCCGGCCCCCTGACTCATTCCTGCCGCTGCCTTCGCCCTCATGCTCGGCCCCCTGAGTTCGCCCGTTGTGGTCTTCGCCCCTCCATGGACTCTGACTTGACCCCGGGCCGTCCGCCCGAGACCCCCACCATGGACTCTGCCTTGCCCCCGGGCCGTCCGCCC